ATTAGTTCTACCCTACGACGACGACGACCACGGCGATGATTACTACTACTACTACTACTACCACTACTACTACTACTACTACCACCACGCCGACCACTACGACTACTAGTGCTATTACTACTACTACGACTATTATGTACTACGACTACTACTACCACTTCTACTACTACTACTACTATTACTACGTCTACTACTACTATTACTACTACTACTTCCACCATAATCACTACTACTACCTCTCCTACTACTACTACGACGACGACTACTACTACTACTACTACTACTACTGTGACGACTACTCATAGAACTACCCTACGACGACGACGGCGACGACGATTTTTACTACTACTACTACTACTACTACTATTACTACTACCACTCATGCTACTACTACTACGACTACGACCACTATCCGTAGTACTACTACCACTGCCACTGCTGCTACTACTACTACTACTACTATTACTGCGACTATTACGACGACGACTATTATTATTATCGCTGCCAGTATTATTGCGACTACTACGACGACTTCCACCGTAATTTGTATTACAGCGAGTTCAAGTCCGCAACTAGGAATAACACTACTACCCCATGACTACTACTATTACGTCAAGTACTATGACGATTACTTTCCGTACTATCACGACACGGCTACTATCACTACGCCTACTACTACGAGTACTATTGCGACTATTACGATTGTTGGTGGTACTACTACTTCTACTACTAATTACTACTACGACGATTACTTCGACTACTGCGACGAGTTGTACTCTTAGTTTGATACAACGAGCACAGGTATTACAACTAGTATTATTACGACTGCTACTACTACTACTACTACTACTACTACTACTAATACGGCGACTACTACGTCGACGACTACCGCTACTACCTCTATTAGTATTGCACCACTACTACTACTACTACCAGTACCACTAGTACTACCATTAGCACAACCACTACTCCTACTACTACTATTACAGCTACTACCGCAACTACTACACCAGCTACTACACGTACTATTTTTTCTGCTACTACGACCACAACCTATAATAATAATACTTCTATTACTATCACTCCCACGGTTACTACCAGTTCTTTTATTATTACTACTTCTACTACTACTACTTGCTACTACTACTACTACGACCACGTCCACTACCACTGCTACAATTCTACTACTACTACTACAGCTACTACTACTGCTACTGCTACTGCTACTACTGCTACAGCTACTACGACTTTATTCGTACTGCTACTACTACAACTACTACTAGTACTACTAGTACTACTACTACTACTACTACTACTACTACTACTACTGCTGCTACTACTACTACTACGACTACGACTACGACTACCACTACTATCACTACTACTACTACTACTACAACTACTACTACTACTATTACTACTACTACTACGGCTACGCATGCGACTACGACGGCGACGAGTATTCCTACTGCTACTACTGCTAGAACTACTACTACTACTACTACGACTAATATTCTCATGATTATGTATACTACTATTGTTACTACTATTGCCACTACTCCTACCACTACCACTACCACTTCCAATGCCACTACCACCACCACTACCACTACCACTACTTTAGTTCGTATTATTATTACTACTACTACCACCACCAATTTCTACGATTACTACTACTACTACTACTACGGCTACTACTACTATGATACTACTTCAACCACCACTACTACTACTACTACTACTACTACTACTACTACTACTACTACTACTGCGACTACTACTACTACTACTACTACTACTACTACTACTACTACTACTACTACTACTACTACTACGACTACTACTACTACTACTACTACTACTACTACTACTACTACTACTACTACTACTACTACTACTACTACTGCTACTACTACTACTACGACTGCTACTACGACTACTACTACTACTACTACTACTACTACGAGTGCTACTCGCTACTTTTGCTGTGCCTCGCCCCGCTCCCCACCACCCCACCCCCACCCCCCAAGAAGCTCAACCGAGGGTCCCAGTGGGCGCTTTCGCCTGCCGTCGCCCTGCCAAGCAGCACACCCTTCACCCGTTTCCTGCCCCCCAGGGAGCTCCACCGAGAGCCCCAGCGGATGCGTTCGCATGGCGTCGCCACGTCCCGTTCGGTACATCCCTCACCCGTTACCTGCCCCCCAGGGAGCTCCACCGAGGGCCCCAGTGGGTGCGTTCGCATGGCGTCGCCCCCTGCCCTTTTCGCTACACCCCTCGCCCGTTGCTTGCACCCCAGGGATCCTCCGAGAGCTCCAGTGGATGCGTTCGCATGGCGTCGCCCCCCGCCCATTTCGGCATACCGCTGACGCGTTGTGGCCCTCAAGCACGCCAGTCGTCATCTGCCGCATGCTGTTCCAGAGCTTCTGGATATGCTTAGAATTGTGGCGCCATCGCAGATGTTTAAACCATGGGTATCCCATTTTCATGACAGACCCTGTCCTACTACCCGTCGCGTTCGTCGTCGTTCTCTCCTTATTGCGATTCGATATGTGAGAGCGCTTTTGCGTGAATGGTGGACTTTGTTCGCGGTGTGACCATCGTAGGTGGCTAGGTTGTCGGGGGCAGTGCAGATCCTCCGGCGTGTTCTTGTTTGCCCTTTGTTTAGAAAAAGGGTTGGGTGTTTCGCCAGGATAAGTCTCGTGTGCGACTGGTTCGCTCGCTTGTGACTGTCTGTGGATATATATATATATATATATATATATATATATATACATACATACATACATACATACATACAGTGGCCTTCGGCCCATCCCGCCACCGTGCCTGTCTTGTGGGGCAAAGTTCTCAGAGATGCTTCTTGGGTCTCTTCGGAGCGCTCTCCAGGGCCTCTCGGGTGCAGTGTTGGGGCCTCTCGGTGCCTCGTTGGGGCCTTTGGGGGGCCTGTTTGGAGCCTTTTGGGGATTCTTGGGGCCTCCTGGGGGGGGCCTCTTGGGGGTCTCTTGGAGCCTCGCTGTGGCCTTTCGGGGCCTCCTGACGGCCTTCCATGGCCGACGGCTCGAAATGCTCGTTCGGGTCCCCCGTCTGGGCCCCCGCTTGGAGCCGTCTTGGGAGCCTCTTGGGCCGTCATGGAGTCCTCTTGGGTCGTCTTGGGGCCCTCTGGGGCCGTTGCGGGGCCCTCTTGCAGGCATCTTGGGGCGATCTTGGAGCCTCGTAAGCCGTCTTGAAGCGTCGGGGAGCTGAGAATGCGAGAAAGCCAACATCCTTTTAAACACCTACAGGAATCAATGATGTGTGCTTCTCGGGGCCCTCTCGGGAAGGGTCTTGAAGGCCTATTGGGACGTCTTGGGCGCTTTGTCGGCCGACTGGGCACCATCTTGGGCGTCTTCGACCGATCGTGCGGCGATGCGGGGCCCCCTTGGACCGTCTCGGTCGCCTCTTGGAGTCCTTTCGGCCCGTCTTGAGGCCCTCCTTAGGGCCGAAAAGTGGCGTGAGAAGACGCGACGCGCCCCAGAAGGTTTGATGCTTTGGCGCTGGGCCCTTTGACGAATCCTCAGGATTTAGGACTGAGGCTCCAGGGAATATGCGAAGGACCTGAGGACACTCCAACTCGTGCCTCAAGGGCAGGAGGGTGGCTAAGCGGCACTTTAAGTATAATGCGACTCGCTACGCCTCGCGCAACATTGGGCAATTCTTACTACAGCTAAACAGAACACACTGAACATATATATATATATATATATACACCGTATGATATACACTCAACAGTGATTGCGCCGTTCCACTGATCCCCGGAAGAAGATGTGCGCGGCGTCCGGTGTCGTATGTGCTGTGTGCCGTTTGTTTTCGTGCTGCCTGCGTGTAGGTCTTGCTGATTTGTCCTTCTCTTCCTCCGAGTTCGTTGCGGGGCTTCTTTGGGACCTCTGGGAGGACCCGGGGGCGGCCTCATGCGAGCTTTATCATGGCTTCTGGGGGCTTCGAGGGGGCCCTCTGGGGATTTCTTCGGGGCCTCTTGGGGCATGTTGGGGGTCTTGGGGGTCATTCTGTGCGGGTGGGTGGGTTCGGTAGCAAATCATGGGAGCCTGGTATACCCGTTTTAATTGCGTCTTTAGCGTCGATGATTCGCGTCGATCAGCATCTGGGACTCGATGAGATAACGCCGATCGTGGACGGGTCTCGGGGGGCCTCGCGGGCGGCCTGAGCCCGAAAAGGCGAGAACGCAGAACGATCCAAACACCTGCGGCTTTTGTGTGTGTGTTGCCTCTTTAGGTATTTCTGGGCGTCATCTTGGGACCCTCTTGGGGAATCTTGGGGTCCTCTTGGGCCATCTTGAGGCAATCTTGTGTGTTCTTATGGCCTCGCCAGCCTGTTCGAACCCTTCGTGAGCCATCTGGGAAGGCATCTTCGGCGTCTTGGAGGCCACGGTCAGTGGATTTGGAGGCTCCAAGGGCCGATCTTGTGGTCAGCCGCTGCACTGGCTGAGCCAGAGGCCAAGATTTGAATGGATCCTTGCTGTCGGGCCTGCCTTAGGCGGGCCCTGTCTCGATCCCCCCGTTCCTATAGATGCTCTATGATTCGAATCCGCCGACCTCTGCTTGCTGGGGTGCAAAGGCGTGTTAGAGATTTGGCTGTTCCCATCACCCTTTCCCCTTCCTTTCAGAGCAAACATCTGGATTAACCCCCCCCCCTGGGGGGGAGGGCGAGGGGAGGGCGGACGAGCTCGAGAACACACCTGACGGGCTGGGTACAGCGCTAAAGCATGGCAGTTGCCGCATCTTTGGTGATACTTGCAACCCCCCCGAGGACTCCTTGTCAAGTAACAATAGTGCATGTGCTCTGATGTCTCTATCCCTCGCAGATGTCGCCACCCTTGCTCAGTCTCCTGGTGCACTTTTTCGATGTACGGCTGGTTCGATGGGACGGTGGGTCCCGCAGCCAAGAGTTGAAATGTCAGAAAAGCGTCCACGCCAAAGCGGGCACGCCACCCTGGTTGTGTCCAGGACAGCCACCTCTGAGCTGCCTGGAGGGCGGGGCGATCAGCAGACTCGGGCGGCGCGCGGCGCTGTCTACAACGCGGAGGCTGCAGGCGCTTGGAAAGGAGCCTGTGCAGGAGGAGGATCATGCACGAATGTTTGCACCATCAGCTTGGGTTTACGGGTGACGGGTTTGCACGTGTGCGTGGAGTTCTTCAGCATGCTAAGTTTGCACAGTTGGCGCTTCACACCTTACGGGGACCCCTTGCCTTTCAACCCATGTCGGCCTGAAGGTGGAGCGGGCCGATGCGATGCAGGGGCAGAGGGCCGGGGCCAGCAGAGCAGTGACGAATCCGGATGTCGGCACGCACGAGCCTTTGCTGTCCCTTCGAAGAGAGCGGCCGCATGCGCTACAGCCTCGAGCGCAATGCAGTGCGCGAGTGCGACAGCACATCAATTTTTGAAGTGTCGAGCACGCTGGGCAGCACCTTGCTCCCAATCAAACAACAGCTCGTATGAAAGACAGGTCTCTACGTTAGGGTCGAGAGGTTCAGGGGCCCATGTCATGAGCACATGATGACGTCGAACGTCTGATTCATTCACTTCCTTCTGCAGGGTTAATATTGAAAACGCCCTGGGCGTTTCTGTTATCGTTTTCTGTGCTGGGCTCTGGACTGGCTGAAAACAAGCAAATCAAGTTGTTTGAGTTGTTTCATAATTGTTGATGTTAGGCGTTTCCTGTCTCATCGTAACATCCATGATGGAGCGGGGGCGTTTCCGCGCGCAGAGCTGGAGCTGGCAACGCAAGTCTGACATGGGTTCGGTACCGGTGCGAAACTGCCCTGGAAGCCAACGGTTCATCCTCGGCGGGCTCCGTCAATGGAAAACAACAGATTCGAAAACGCTACACACCGAAGCGTTTTTATAGCGTGGTCGGTTTTCCTGTGGAGACCTGAAAGCGCAAACACATTGATTTCCAAGATGCCGAGTTGAAAACGCCCAAAAAACGCCAAGGGCACATTTAAGATACAACAAGTCACAAGTCCTTCTGCCTTCCCCTCCCTCTTCTCTGACTCCTCCCGCTGGTCCTCCTTCCCCTCTTCGCCCTGTGCCTTCCTCATCCCCAGCGCTGGCATGATTGGCACTTATCACCCGGACGGTCGCAAAGCAAATCTTCATCCTCAACTGACACCCCAACTCTTCTCCATATCCCCCACTCCGCCTCCTCCTCCCCCCCCCAACCTGCTGCTGCTCATCCTGCCCCTCCTCCCCCGTGTCTTCACTATCCTCCACCTTGTATTGCCCCTCCCTCCCCTCCCCCCCCACATACACCTCTTTCCCCCCGCTTGCGTAGTCAGACCCATACTCCCTTCCCTTCCACACCGCCTCCTCATCTCTCTCATCATCCCCCCTTTCACCCCTCCCTTCCCTCCCCCCTCTTATCCCTTTTCCACTTGTCTCCTCCCCCCATCCATCCAACTCAAACCCCCATCCCCATTCTGACCTCTGCCCCCCTTTTCCACCCTTTCCACCCACCTCCTCGCCTCCCCATCCATGTCCTCCTCCCTTCAGCTATCTCTCCTCCGCAACCACACATTCTGGATACTAGTTTCCTCTCTCCCCTGATTATGTCTGAAATATACTCGGCTCTCTCTGCGTATTCTTCAACGAGATTCAAATGTGTTCTTATAGCTGTTACAATCCAAGTGTTTTTGGCATTTCAAAACGGTGGTCCCGCTCTAGCGTGGGCCTCATGTTCGGATCGGTGCTTTGCTCCCGTCGTTCAGAACGGCGTTCACTTTTCTAGATACGGGTCTTCTTTCATCGTTGTCGCCCCCCTCATTTCCCCGCTCTCTTCTGGTCCTCCTGCTCCTCCAGCTCCTCTTACTCCAGCTCCTGCTGCTGCTGCTGGTCGTCCTCGTCTTCCATCTCCTTCCTCATCCTCCTTTTCCTCCTGCTCATCATCTTGCTCATCCGTCATTTCCTTCTCCAATGTGAGTAAGCCCCCTTTTTTTCAATTGCGCACACGATGAGTTCCTCTTTGGAGTTCCAGGCGCCAGCGCACCTAGCTTGTCCTGTGCCCCTCTCCCTCCCCCCTCCCCCCCCTTCCCCTCCTCCCTCCTCCCTCGCCCCCTCTATGGTATGGTGTGAAGGAAACGGGTGGGTCCTGGTAGAGGCGGGCCCTGGTCCCACCAACGTGTCACCCCGTGTCGTTCTGCGACGGTCTTTGGGCCAGTGGGATGGCTCTGGGAGCTTGAAGACGGAGATAAAACCTCCAGGGCCCATGACCCATTCTGCCTCGAGGACGGCGAAGAAGAGGGTGAGGACAGAGGGCGTGATGATATCATGCCCCCCTCTTCTGCTGCCTCCACTTCTTTTCGGCGTCCCCACAACATGCTAATACTGTGTGTGCGTCGCCCCGCCAGGGGCTACGCGCGCACCGAGAAATCTCATAGCATATGCGTCGTGGCGGGCGCTTTCTGGCCACACCGCTCGGGAAACGATATACTACAAAATGGGTATACTAGATGTTCGAGTCGGACGCGCGCCTCCAAGGAAAACAGATAGCACGAGTATGTTTTTGCGCGTCCCATATTTTACTTCTTCCCCAAACGGTGCTTGCACTTAGGGATTCTCACTTCTGGTCCCAGGAACTGGGCCTCTGTGCCGGTCTGGAGATCCGTGCCGGCCGTCGCCGCCACGTCGCCGCCTCGTCGCCTTCCGTCGCCCGGGCTTGCGTGTCAGTCTGGCGGCTCTCCGTGCCGGCCGTCGCCGCTCCGTCGCCGCCACGTCGCCGTCCGTCGCCGTTTCTTCGCCGTCGCCGTCGCGTTGCGTTGCTTGGCGTTGTATTTTTGTTGCGTTGCTCGTCGTTGTTCTGCATTGCTTTGCATTGCAAAGCAAAGCAATGCCTGGCCGTGATTTGCATTGCTGTGCAATGCATTGCTTTGCGTTGTTTTGCACTTACTTGCCATGCTTCGAATTGCGAAGCCGTCCTTAACATTGCCCTGTGTTGAGATTATAGTGCTTTGTATTGCTTTGCGTTGCTTCGAATTGCAATGCGAAACGTTGCATTGCGTGGCTTTGCTTTGCAGTGATTTGCATTGCTTTGCGTTGCACTGCTTTACATTGCCTAGAGATTGACACCAACACCAATTTCGGCGGTGTGCCTCCACCGAAGGAAGAAGATCCCGATCTCGGTGATGGTGGTAATATTCTGGCTTCCAAGGTGGCCGAACTATTGCCACCAACACCGAAAATCTGGGACCATCTTCCCCCTGTGGAGGCAACCCTCTGTCTTGGTGTTGGTGCCAATTTCCAGGCCTCCCACTTTGCATTGCAAAGCAAAGCCAAGCCTGGCCGTGATTTGCATTGCTGTGCAATGCATTGCTTTGCGTTGTTTTGCACTTACTTGCCATGCTTCGAATTGCGAAGCCGTCCTTAACATTGCCCTGTGTTGAGATTATAGTGCTTTGGATTGTTTTGCGTTGCTTCGAATTGCAATGCGAAACGTTGCATTGCGTGGCTTTGCTTTGCAGTGATTTGCATTGCTTTGCGTTGCACTGCTTTACATTGCGTTGCCTTGCTTCGTACTGTTCCGCCGTTCTTAGTAGTATTATGCATTGATTTGCATTGCTATGCCGTGCTTGGCATTGCTTTGCTTTGCAGCCCCTCCCTTCTCATCCCTCCTGGTTTGTGTTGCTGGCACTTGCGTTGCATTGTTCTCATGGCTGTGCGCTGCTTTACGTGGCTTCGCATCTCACTGCGTTCGTTTACATTGTTGTGCGTGGCTTTGCATTGCTTTATGTTGATTTGCGTTGCCTTGCATCGCAGTGCATTATTCTCCAAATAGGCTTGCCCCACAGGAGTTCCAATTCATTCTCTACTAATTGGTCCGTTGGCCCCCCCTCCCCAACTCCTATGCCCACCCCCTCAATTCCTATTGCTATGCCTATGCCTATACTTATGCCTATGCCTCCCCCTAACTCCTATGCCTACGCCTATGCCTATGCCTATGCACCACCTCTGAGCGCTCCTACGTCTATGCCAATGCCTACATGCCCAAGCTTACTCCTATGGCTCTCCCTACTTGCGTGGCTACTCGCGTCTTTTTGCTCGCTTCGTTTTGCTTGCCATTTCATGCTTGGCTTCCTCTCCTCCCGTCCTCTCCTCCTCGTCTTCTCCTTCTCTCGCTCTTCTCCTGTCAATCTACTTACGTGGAGTCAACGTTAGCTGATATTAAAAAGTGTACCGTGTTGCGTTGCGAAGCATGGCGCAAAAGGGAGGGGGAGAAAGGGGGAATAGTATCATATGTATGTTACCCAAGCAGCGTTTGTACTTTGGTATTTTTTTTATCTTTGCTCTACATCGAAAAGCTGGTGTGGTTGTCTGGCGGCTATGTTGTTGCCGTCGCCGCCCCGTCGCCGCCTCGTCGCCGCCCGTCATCTGGGCCAGTGTGTCGGTCTGGCGGCTATGTTGCCGCCGTCGCCGCCCCGTCCCCGCCTCGTCGCCGCCCGTCTTCTGGGCCAGCGTGGCGGTCTGGCGGCTATGTTGTCGCCGTCGCCGCCCCGTCCCCGCCTCGTCGCCGCCCGTCGTCTGGGCCTGTGTGGCGGCCTGGCGGCTATGTTGTCGCCGTCGCCGCCCCGTCGCCACTTCGGCGGGGCCTCGCGCAATTGCACCACATAGATGCCACCACGGGGGTTCTCTTGTCTAAAAAGAGAATAGACTCTGCCCCCCCCCGGGCGTTATCACTACCCCCGCGTCCTATGTAAATCACTACCCCCCCGTCCCCGGGAGGTCTTGACCAAGCGCTTCCCGACTCCCGCTCCGACCAGCACACCGACTCCCGCATCGACGGGCTCAGAGACCCCGTCCCCGGGAGGTCTGGACCAAGCGCTTCCCGACTCTCGCTCCGACCAGCACACCGGCTCCCGCATCGACCAGCTCACCGACCCCGTCCCCGGGAGGTCTGGACCAAGCGCTTCCCGACTCCCACTCCGACCTGCACACCGACTCCCGCATCGACCAGCTCACCGACCCCGGCC